TCCAGATCATCGATAAAGATATTGAACAAGACCAGCCCCAAAACTGAGCCCTGGGGAACACCGCTCGTGACCGGCCGCCAACTGGATGTAACTCCATTCACAACAACTCTCTGGGCCCGGCCGTCCAGCCAGTTTTTGACCCAGCGCAGAGTACACCTGTCTAAGCCGCGATATGTAATGCATAAGATCCCCAAGCTGATAATCAGAGGAAGTGATGGACTTCGTCCCCTGTTCCTGCTTTCCTGTAAATATGAAGAACCAACAAGAGTGAACCGGCCGACTACTGGATTGAACTCCATTCACCACAACTCTGGCCCAGCTGTCCAGCCAGTTTTTGACCCAGCGCAGAGTACACCTGTCTAAGCCGCGATATGTAATGCATAAGATCCCCAATGATAATCAGAGAGGAAGTGATGGACTTCGTCCCCTGTTCCTGCTTTCCTGTAAATATGAAGAACCAACAAGAGTGAACCATACCTGGAAAAAGAGGTCCAAGCATACAGGTCTTGAGACTTTAATCGCAAGTGGGACAAGAACTGTGGAGCTTGAGCATTCAGGCGAAGAGTGGCAAAAGGAGTATTACACCACTTCTCACTGCCCCCCTGCTCCCCAACCTACCCGTCCAAAAAAAACCCCAAAACAGTGGATTGTCTATTACAATGACTGAAATAACTTACTGGAAATTAACAGAGACATGCCTTGCTTTACACCCACCTGCTTGAGGTAAAGCAATGGAGTAGATGATCTCCTGACATCCTTTGCAGTCCTGTGGTTGTTGGGGGTTTTTTAAGACTCAAAATACATGTTTAAAAATTGTTTTCCATGTAAAAGGAGTTAAATTTAAATTTCTTAGCTTTTTTTTATTGTATGGCAAGATCTTTTCTACTTGCCATCAGTCTTGCTCAGTGATTGAAGATGATGGGCCTCAGTGCAATACTAAATAAAATTAACATAGTTAAGAAATTAGTTCTCCCTTTGTTAGATGAAACTTTGTATTTAAATATTGAGTTTAAATTAACGATTGTACCTGAAAGCCAGGTTTACTTGTATTACACAAAAATTACTGTAATACTGTGTAAATTCACGTGAAACTTGCAACTTTAGTGTGAAGAAGTCATTAAATTTTGACTAGTTTAAAGGTAATAATTTTAAAACTAATCGGTAATGAAAAATATTTGTCATCATTTTTTGTGTTGTAATTTGTTGTTGTTGTTCTGTCATCTCAAGGATTAAGAGTTTAAGTAGCTGCCAGAGGACAAACAAATGATTCTTAGTTATATATGAAGTCAGACTAGTAAATATGGATAGTACCCTTCAGTATTTTCCAAAAGTAATCAGAAGCAGCTTATTTGGGAGGTGCTGAATTTAGGCCACTTTAATCACTAATTATTAAACTTTCTTTAACTGGTCTCATGCATTTCTTTGAAATGAAAAATTAATGAATGTCCTAAAGTAGACTCCATTGAATTAAATTTTGGAAAATGATCTACTTAAATCTTCAGTAATTAAAACTTCATTGATCAAAAGATAGATCAAAGTTTTTCATCTTATGCAAGCAAGCTAATTTCTCAAATGATTCGTAAGTTTATTATTTACTGCTTATAAAAGTCATCCTGACAGTGTTGAAGAATTAAATATATGTTAATCCACAAAATACGTGATGAAAAATACTGCTTTTTGGCAGCCACATTAGAGTACATTCTTATGGATGGTGCCTTTTTATAAATAATGGGACTGATAAGCCTGCATGCACACGCAATCCTTGCCTGCTAACAGCTTGTTAGATTTGCTTGCAAAGTGTTTGAAAACATGTTTCGGACCTTCAGGTCATTTCAGATAAACACAGTGTGTACTGAAAGCATTGACATTCAATAAGAAAGTGCAAATCTAGCCACCACTGCTTCAAATACTTCTGTATTCAGAGAACCTGCAAATTTTGTAATAAATAGAAAGCAATTTAGCTGATTCTCTACTTGTAGTTAATATATGGTTTTCAAAATATTGGAAATTGGGAGTTTTACAACTAGTTTATTTACAAGATCAGATACTGAAAGATGAAGTCAGATGCTTGAGTGTCATTCTTTTTCCATAACTGAAATACAATGGAAAAATAACTGGTACAAATTATTAACTTAGATATCTTAATTGTACGTAGCTCTATGTGCTATGATAAAATAATTGGTGGCAGTTCCATTTCACAAGATTGCATTTTTCATTTCAAGTTTCTAAATTTGGTTTCTAGGTGATGAAAATGAAGTTTCAGAGTGTCATGTTACTGATGGCTCTTGCAAAGTTTTTAATGAACAAAAGAATGAGCACAATGGGGGGTTAAGAAAAGCTAGAAGACTCCAAAAGGTCAGTTTAACTGGACATATTGTTTGTTAAGCTTTTTCTTTTTCTTGGAGAATCACTGAGTGCCTTTGTATGTACAAAAAAGAAATGCATTCTCTATGCACTATCAATTTAGAAGCTTTTCTGAATCTCACTTTCCTTGAAATGTTATGCAAATGGTGTTCAAAGACAGTATGTATAACCATGGAACTCAGCTTTCTGTGGCAGAGTCCGTGCCAAGTTGACATCGTAAAGGAGGTTGGTAAGCCAGCTCAAACTGATTTAGTTGAAAAGCCGCTGAAGTAACCTGAAAAGATGCCTATCCTTTTTGGAGGAGTTAGTTACTAAATGGGGTAGGGTTTGTTGTTTGTTTTATAGTGGATCATCCCCAGTGGATGTCTCTACGGGATAAAGACATGCAATATTTTCTTCTAGGTTCAGGTAAAGCTAAATTTCTTAACTTACTATTTGAGCTCAGTTTCGATGTTAAAAAAAGTGAGAGGATTGGGTCAGCACTGAATCTTTTTTTAGGTGTTTTTCCCGTATAAAAGTTTTTTCTAAGTAAATATAAAACTGATCAGGAAAATAAATAGTAGTTCTTTTCATCGGTAAGTAGCAAGTCATACAATTAAAATGAGCCCTGAATTGTTTTGAGAATGGGAAGTCCTAAAGCACTAAAAGATGTCTGAGGTAATTAATTTTATGAAATAAATTAGACAGGTGTTTCATTGGTAGCTATTGGAGTTTCAAAGAGATTGATCACAGATTTTGATCCTCTTTTAAGTAAAAGTTCTGGGCAGGTGCAATTACTAGGCTGTTCAACCTTTTAAACATCCTGAAGATGGGATATTAATCTCCATGGAGCAATGATCTTCTTTGGGTTAAAATTATTATTTGACTTTTTGCCTACATCTTACTGCTTGTTACTTTTCTTAAGTATTTGTTCACTTTCTTTTCCTAAATATATACATATATATTATTTGTATAACTAATAACTAAGTATTATGTAGAATGTATAAATCAACTTCACTCTAGATCTATGTCCTATAGAAACACTATAAGATGGTCTACTTTTTAGGCTAAAGCATCTGTCCAGAACAGTTTCATTTCCTGCCGCAGAAATCTGACTAAAGCTGCTAAATGTATATCCACAAACTATAGTCAATGGCTCTTCCTAAGGCTATCTGCAGAAATGGTGCTTGGAGATTTATCAGGTTTGTTTGTACTGATTCCTCCTCCTGTGTAATTACGCTACAAGAGCATTATACAGTAGTGCTAGTTTTGATTCATTTCTCTTAAGAAAAGATCCCAACATAACTATTACATACTGAAGAGAAACAAAAAACAGTATGAAGTTCTTTTTTATTGCTTCTCTTTTTCAAACCTGGCCTTGCAGTCAAAGGTGGTATCTTTGAATGGTTCTGCTTGGTGTCTGCTTGCAAAGCATGCTCTGTGAGGTGTTTAACAGTAGCAAAAGCTAAGTAGTAGCTGGAGAAAATTCCTATTCAGTGTTTTGAGATGGCTTCTTTCATCCATCCATTTCAGCCGGGTGACAATACAATTTGACTCAAATATCAGTAAAATAGCAGCACATACTTTCTTTCATGTCTTGAATGCTTTTCTAAATAACTTCAAAGGTTTCCGGTTGCAGTTTGACTGTGCAAATTCATACAGAGACAATGTTGAGGGGTTTTTTATTGAAAAGTAAAAGGAACTTCACAAAAGGATTTTATGTGGTTTAACCAGACAGTCTGGCAACCAGACTGTTGCACTGAAAAGTTTTACTTCATATTTTCCTCAAGCAATTGTCTGTTAATATATATTAAATATTTATGAATATGTCTATTCAAGATCTATTTTCCATTGTTTGTATGCATACATACATGCAAAATTTATAAAGCCAATGTTGGGGATCCCTAGGAAATTCTTAGCGAAGCAATTTTAAGAGGATATTGTTTTGAACAAAATTATACTGTCTGGATTTTTGTAAAGAATTAAGTTGCAAAGCTTCTCTAGTACCAGTCACAATATGTTCTTGAAGCTTTTTAAAAACAACCAAACATTATAAATAAAACATTTTAATAAACACTTTTTTGCAATGGCTGCAGCTTAAACATTGCAACATTTTGCTAATGTTTGACAATTTTGGATATTGTTTTGAACAAAATTATACTGTCTGGATTTTTGTAAAGAATTAAGTTGCAAAGCTTCTCTAGTACCAGTCACAATATGTTCTTGAAGCTTTTTAAAAACAACCAAACATTATAAATAAAACATTTTAATAAACACTTTTTTGCAATGGCTGCAGCTTAAACATTGCAACATTTTGCTAATGTTTGACAATGTGAAAGTGAAGTTAAGTTAGAAAATTTTAGTTTGTTTTCTTTGCCCGAAACAAAAAGTGTATGAGAGAAATAGCACAAATATTTTAAAAAATATTATTTTATTGAATCATAGTATTATGAAGAATTTTCTAATGTTTATTTAAATCTTAAAAGAAAGCTTATGTTAAAAATCCAAGCACAAAAGAAATGCCATTTCCTAGCTATTTTAATGGACTAACGTTTCTAGAGATGTGACTATGAATCTCCAGACCTTTCATATCTAAAAAAGAAAAAAAGACAAAAACTTTAAATGATAGTCATTGTAGAGTATATGCAGTTTTGTACTGAGTAGTTCCAATATGAGGCTTCAGATCATATTGCTGGTGTTCTGGGAATCTGTTGTAAATGTAATCTGTTAAATTCGTTGCTTAGCTCTAAGTCTCTTAATTGGGGAAGCAATGCAAATTGCAGTTAGTTTTTTCCATAGAAAAAGAGTTTGAAATCGAATACCGTTTTAAAAACATTTTAGATGTTTGCTGAATGTAATTCCTAGGCAATGTCTGACCTGCAGCTTTTTAGAGTACTTTAGTTATAACTCATTCACTACAGTGTAAACTACAGTGAACACTACGATTAAAACTCATTGGCTACAGTGAATGCATGTCAGTAGGCGTTTGGAGTTCACTCTGTGATGGTAAATATTAAAAAAGCCATACAAAAATACCTTTAGGAAATATGACCAGGCATGTTAACATTATTTACTTCCATGGTTATTTGAATTTGTCATTTGTAGTTTCTTTAATTTAATATAAATCAAGCTGTAGATTCTGTATTTGTCTGCTGTGCTGTTGTGTTATGCATTTGTTTTCTTCAAAACCTCATGGATGTTGAGTTTCTTGTATTTTGTTTTAGCTGAAGTTAAAATCAAGAATGACTTTGTTCAGGTACTTTTATATCACAATTTTAGATTAGAAGTACTCATTTTTTCTTTCTTTATCTATACTATTTATATAGGCATGCTTATTGTACTCTTTAACATGGAAGACTTCTAATCAAAGTTATCTAAAATTGTACTGTCAACTAACAGAAGCCATGAAGACAGAGCAGTTTTTAATGGCAGCTGCAGGCATGTTGGGGAAATGTAAGATTTTTCAGGAATCTTTAATGGCTTCGGGAACAAGCTTTTTGGATTTAAAACCATACCACCACCCCAAAAACCCCAGGAGTTTTGGTGTGTTGTACATATTCAAATGCAGTGCATAAAGATAGATTTATAAAACTGGCCTATAGGTTTGAACTTCTTAGTTTTAAGACATGCCAACCCATAATTGAGGATAGTTCTAGATTCTTCTCATTCAGAGTTGGTATGAAGCAAGGATGAACACTGTGGATTAATGCCTATGAATGTCAGCAGGTGGCTTCCCTGGTCTAGAAATCTAAGTTGATGATACTGGATTGCAGGGATAAAATAATCCCTTTATGCATTGTGATGCATTTTTCAATTATTCCATGGAATTGAATACATAGTTCTTTGTTGCTTTGCATAGGGAGGACGAAGTGAAATAACTAAAAATCATAAAGCCAAAAACGTATTCAAACATGTTAGTTACAGCGGTGTTAATCTGTTGGTGTGAGGGTTGAGTGCTCATTTCATTGCTTAATGTCACAAAAATGTTTACATTTATCACAACACCTGTTGCATGTCACAAATGTAAACATTTTGCACTTTAAACAGATCAGAGAGAGACTCATTATGAATAACCAGTTAACTGCCATTTTTATTCAAATAAAAAGTTGTTTCATATTTTTAGAGGGATATGAGATGTGATAGTTGGTTTTTTTTTTAAAGGATCTAACAGTATCACATCACTAGAAATGAAATTGGAATTAATTTAACACTCAAAAAACCCCTTAAAATATTGTCTTCTGAGTGGATAGAATAAACTCTTCAACCATGTGAGAAAAAACAGTTAAGCATCATGAGGGATAATTAAAACCATATTTTTGCAGAGAAGACAGTATGGACTTAACTGAAATTCCTTCAATTTTGTTTTTAAACAGATTCATCTTGGCTTGTATTTCTGTAGCTCTTGGATTTGGGTGAAGGTAAAGTTATCAACACTAAATTTAAGAGTTTTTTGAGAGAAGAGAAAGAGAAAATGTTTAAAAAAAGTCTAAGCTCATGCTGTGGAACAACTAGTGTGAAGCAGGCCATCGTTAGATCCTGTTATCAAAATCCTTTTTGAAAATATTTTATTCATGGCAAAACAAATTTTAATATCCTGAAAAATCTGTAACTATAAAACATGAAGCATCTTGCCAGACATTCAGAAAAATAACTTTATGTCTATATTTGGTATGTGCATTTGCAAACTGTCTTAAACAGATTGTATCGGTTTAGGGGACAACATCCTTTTATGTTTTCCTTCCAATTTTGATTTTGTAGTTGCTTTGAATAGGTACATATTTTAAACACTGATACTTGAAGCGTTACTGACTTTGAGCCGCAAATGAATATTAAACTAGTGTGAATTAGAAGAGGTGGAAGCATGCAAGCTCATTTACGGTTAACAGTGAAGAAACTGGAACTATCTACATGTTTATGGCCTGGGGGAAATGGGGGTGGTGGACAAGTGGTCATTGAAAGTTATTCAAATGGATTGTTTCTGGGTGTAGCGATGAGACGAGTGACTGAAGCTA